ACCCAGGCACAAGGACAGGTTGAGGTTGACCTGCTGGAAAGCAGCTTTGGGAAAAGCACTTGGGGGTCCTGGCGAGCTGCAGACTGACCACGAGGCAGCAGTGTGTCCTGTGGCCAAGAAGGCTAACGGGATCCTGGGGTGCATCAGGAGGAGCATTGCCTGCAGGTCAAGGGAGGGGATCCTGCCCCTCTACCCAGCCCTGGTGAGGCCACACCTGGAGTATTGGGTGCAGCTCTGGGCTTCCCAGTACAAGAGGGATGTGGAGCTGCTGGAGAGTCCATTGAAGAGCTACAAAGATGATCAGGGGACTGGAGCATCTCCCCTCTGAGGAGAGGCTGAGAGCCAGGCTTGTTCAGCCTGGGGAAGAGAGGACTGAGGGGGGATCTTATCAGTATGTACAAATATACAAATATCTTAAGGGAGGGTGAAGAGAAGATGGGACCAGACTGTTTTTAGTGGTGCCCAGCAACAGGACAAGAGGCAATGGCCACAAACTGAAGTACAGTAACTTCTGTCTGAATTTATGGAAAAACTTCTTTCCTGTGAGGGTGACAGAGCCCTGGAACAGGCTGCCCAGAGAGGCTGTGGAGCCCATTCCCTGGAGACTCCTGGACATGATCCTGAGCAACATGCTCTAGGTGACCCTGCTGGAGTAGGGATGTTGGACGAGGAGATCTCCAGAGGTCCCTTCCAGTCTCAGCCATTCTGTGCTTCTGTGATGGATCTACCAATTTTACATGTTTTTATACTAAAAAGAGGTTATCTTGGATAATTTGACATGTACTGGCTAGTGAAGGTACCCAAGATTGAGATTTATACATGGTTGCACTGTATTACCACCTGCTGTCAGCTTGTTAGAGCTCAGCTTGCAGACTGCTGCTCTTACAGTCAGCCCAGTATGGGAAGTGTTAAACTCAAAGGCAGTGTTCGAGGCTGTCTCATATTTTGCCAGAGGATTTGTTTGTAACCAGGGGGTGACAGCAGCCTTGTCTTATGTCACTGAGCAGAGCCTGATTGCTCAAGTTTATCTAAAACATGTGTGAAGCTCTTCGTCTGAAGCCTGCTACCCTGTGAAAAGTGAAATGCTGTGTCAGCTGGGGCAAAAAAAAGCAAGCAAGCCTGACGTACCACGGAGATCCCTGTTGAAATCATGGAGCCTCCGAATCTCTCCTTCGAGTTTGTTTCTCATGGCTTTGTCCAGAGACTCCCGTTTAGTGGTGGTCTTCACCAGGCCCTCATAAGCTTCTGAAATCTTCTGAATCTCTATTTCAAACTGAAAGGAGAGAGACCTCCCGTTAAATCTGGGCAGGGAAGCGCGCTGGGCAGACAGGTGCCCACGGCAGAGCTTGCGGGGCCGGGCCAAGCGGGGGCGGGCAGAGAGGCCTGATGTACCCGTACCAGCCCCCGCCTGGGTGCTGAGGCGGCCAGGAGGCACGGAGGGAACTCGCGCCTCCGCAGGGGCTGCTCTCCTTCCTAGAAAGGCTGGTAGGAGGCAGGATTTATTATCCCGCCACGAGGGATGACTCCCCAGTCCCAAGCGCAGCTCTTGGCACTACATGCCACTATAAACGTTCTAGGCTAGACTCTGACCTCATTTCAGCTACAAACTATGGTGGTTTGCTCTTCTTTTTTGATGTTTCTCTTGACTGGAGACTGCTATACTAAAGAAGGGACTCGCTGTTACAACCCAAGCCTGTTGTTTGGGGTTTTCAATATTCTTGGCTTTATCTCCTTGAAAACTGGCAAATTGCATGTTGTCCGGTTTGATAGACCGAGCAGCACAGAGACAACCTTGAGCTGTGAACTTGCTTCCTAAACCCACACACTGACAAAAGGAGAGTCACAGGGAGGGTCTTGTGGCTCAGGTTAATCAGCTCCAGCTTCTTTAACGAACTAATCTCACATGAAACGTTACCTCTTTGGTGAAATCAATGCCGCAGAAATCCACAGCACTGATGTGGGAACCTGCTTCTGCGTGCTTGAACCTTCCACTCTGGCAGGGAAACCAGTAACAGCAACAGCTCTGAATTAGCCCCCAACTTGCCAAGTATTACGTATCTCAAACACACAGTGACTTGCCAGCAAACATGCATCTCCCACACATCCATGCTGCTCCACTCTATGCATGGTATTAAAAAGTACTATAGATCCAACAGTTTCCAACCAGCAATTCTCCAAGGCTCAGAGAAGTGCTGACCTGTGGCACGAGACTGCAGCCTATGTAGTCTACGTCCTGAAATCCTTTTTTAGGTGAACTCCAAACGATTATTCTGAGCTTCCACTTTGTTGGGTTTTGTTTGTTTGTTGTTTTGTTTAAAAGCAGGAGCTCCCTGAAACGCTGGTGCATTTTAGCTAATGACATTTCAGAAAAGTAGGTCCCCCTTCCCTGCTCTGCTGTCATACAACAACAGAGCCAGGCTATGGGGACAACCCATTCAGAAGGATGCTGAATACACCCGAGCTGTAGTGATCTAAGAATTCTACAGTGCATGCAAAGCTTTTCTTTCCTTTTTTTTTTTTTTGGATCCTTTCTTGTACACAGTGAATTCTTTTCCCACCAACAGGAAAGCAGGCTTAAAAATAACATGATCTAGGGTACATGAGTTCAAACATGAAGTTCAAACTTCAGCCTAATTCTTAGGGTTCAAACACAGCTGATCAGTTTTCTTCTTCCTCATACACGCAATGGCACAAACTTGTAAGAAGCCGTGTCAAAAAGTCTGATCTTATGTAAGAAAATCTGTTTTCTTTTGGTGAGTTTTCTAGAAAAAAAACCAACCTGTCAACAATTTACTCAAATAACAGCACCCAATCACGTCTTCCCCAACCACAGCAATTTTAACAGACATATATGGCATGTGAAATTCATCAGGGAATCAGAGATCTCAAGGCAAGAGGCATCTATCCAAAATGATCTCTGCCATAACACAAGGGCCATGTGCCCATGCCCTGCCGACACACTGACGTGCCGTTCTCCAGGTTAATTTGAAGGTGTTGGATGATGGATAACCTGGCACACTGCACTGGAAGCTGTTCCCATAGCTCAGTATTCTTGTATTTTTAATAAGCCTTAGTTCCTCTTTGAGTAGAATTGATTTCAGCTACTTGCTCCTGCTATGTTTCCTTTTCCTTTAGATCCACGTGACCTTTGCTATCAAAAGCCGTCTATACTGAAGACCTTTTTTCTATAGCATAGGGTCCTCAGGCTGTAGGCTGCATTGAAGCTACCTCACACCACTTCCCTTGAGCATTTAAGCAAACTCAGATTGTCTAACCCTTACTGAAAGAAAGCTTTAGCTGTGCTCTTATCATTTTAAGGCCCTTTCCAGACTCCTCATCCCGACGGGCCTCGCACCCCGCTGGCGCTTGCTGCCTGCTGTTTCCTGCAAGGCTCCGTCGCCGCAGGACGCCGGCTGCAGGGAGCCGCTATCGCTGCGAGGCAGCTCTGCTGGCACGGCAGGGGCTCCCCGGCCCCTCCGCTCTGCCCAGCGCTTTTCCAGGCATTTCCAGCGACGTGGCACCACGCAAGGCTCCTCCAGCCCCGCTGACAGGGACCTGCTGCAGGAAAAGGGTTGAGCACCACTGAGGAAGGGAGCGCAGCAGAAGACCAAAAGAGCAACCATTAAGGATCCCGATAAACCATGTTTATGTTTCTCTGCAGCTCTGTGATTTTCCATCCCCTCTACTAAAAAAAGAATTTTAAAAAACAATAAAAAATATTATTATTATCTTCTCTTGCTTGTAGTGCCTGGTGCCAGCCCACTCAACCAGCTTGCACAGCATGATGCTGGGAAGCAGTAGCCTAGCCTGGCAATTAAACCTCAGTAAGGGAACACCGTCAGACAAAAGCAACAAACAAAGAAAAGGAGAAAGGAAGGCACAGAAAAGCTAAAAAAAAATGAGCACAAAACTCCCTCAGCAATTTTGAGATAAGAAAACCAGACAACAACACAGGGATTAATCACTACCTTGTGCCTCTCTGCAAAATGTCTTTTCAGACATGACTTCAAATTTGACAGCCTTAAGGTCGATCTGCACGTACTAATGCCCAGGGAGCTCTCTAAGTCATGCTGATTCTCCCTTTCTAATTTCTTCTCCGGTTCTGTTATGAATAAAAGCAGAGAGAAGATTGTCCTACCTATAGTAAACATGTTATACAGAGATGAAAAGAAGTACATCTCATGACCCCTCCCCTTCCAGCAATAAGGAAGAGTTTCCATATCTGAAGTAGATCATTTAATTCACTATTTTGGGGGTTTGGTTTTTTTTAGAGATGATGCGCAGCTCAAACTGAAGAAACACAGAAATCGGATAAAGAACCTTCCCTGTCCAGGCATTCAAACACAGAAAAAAAATGGCCAAGAAAGGATAATGTGTGTTAAGGTTTTGGTTCAGGAAATATTCCTGAAGAAAAAATGCACTCAAGCATGTGTTTCCCTTTAAGAATCTGCTTACATTCCACTGAAGTCAATGGGATTTGAGTCCCTGTTCTGTTGACTTAAGTGAGACTTCAGTCCACACTTAAATACCTTTCTGCTGGTGTCTGATGCAACAGACTCCTAGGACATCCAAGATAAAGAGAACACCATTTCTAGGACAGTAAAAGAAAACCTGAGTATTTTTAGGGCATCATACTCAGATATCTTTTATTAAACAATACTGCTTCTGTAAAATCAGTATTTATTTTTGTCCACAAAGGCTGCAGAGAAGTCAGAATTAAAATCTTTACAGATTTATTCACAACTGATTAACATAGCTGCAAAAAATTCTCAACTAAGTTTAGGAAATTCTGTGACTGCAGCAGTAAAGTCATCTGCTTGCAGAGGAGGATGCTGCAAAGATAACAGCTACAGAACAAGACTTTTTCTTCCTAACCTGTCTGAACTTCCTGGTCACAGATTTTCTGAAAATTGAGGTCAAGAGACACGGTCTCTCAAAGCTGCTTCTCTTCCCATCAAAGGTGTCTCCCATGAAGACCTTGATCCAACACAAACACAACAAATTTTAACTCCTGTTTAGATTTCTAATTTTGCAGGGAAAAGACCTGCAGGCTAAGCCGATTTGAGTGTAAGTGGTGGGAAGTCATACATGTTTTGTACGTACGTACTGTAGGATCCTAAATAATTTGTTTGGTCTAGGCCTTATGGATCCACAGACAGTAGATTTGGGGAGCAGCTGACTTCAGTGAGCTCTGACTTTTAAGAAACATTCTTTTATTTGATTAGATTTTTCACTTTTGTCTTTCGTTGCCACGCCAGGCAGCAAGCAAGGCGTCACTCTTCCCTGGAGAAGCGAAGCACATATATCAAAAAGAGGGTGCCGGATCCATCTGCAAGGGATTTCTGGGCAAATTTTTTATCAAATAATTATTTCAGATAAAGTGGTAGTGTTCTTTGAACCACCATATTCATGTAATAGACATGAGTGTCTACGGTCAGTTTTAGAAACCCATCCAGCAACCATCAAAAGCCTCCGTCTCAATCACATTAACAAATTTCCAAACAAGAGCCAAACCCAGTGCAGGCTGTTACCCTTTCCTAACAAGAGTGGAGCATAATTTTTGCATTGAACTGTGTTGAACAAGACCGCTCAGGAAAGATTTGCCTCAAATTCCCCTTGCATGCAGCACTGCTTCTGGGCCAAGCCTAAGGGTGACAGAGCCCTGGCACAGGCTGCCCAGAGAGGTTGTGGAGTCTCCTTCTCTGGAGATCTCCCAAACCCACCTGGATGCCACCCTGTGCCCTGTGCTCTAGGTGTCCCTGCTGTAGCAGGGGGATTGGACTAGATGATCTCTAGAGGCTGCTTCCAACCTCAACTATTCTGTGATTCTAAGCTGTGTGGGCGCCAGCAGCAGCCCCTGCCCCACAGAGACTACTCCTGCCAGGCTGACGCTGAAGGACGGAGGGGGAAAGACCTCAGCAGAAAGTACCTGAGAAGTTGCCCTGTTACCCCCCAACAGCGTCGTGCCATGGGAATAGACACGCAAGTCCACCACAGAGGAGCAGTGTCTAGAGAGAGCCAACACCGTGCCACTGGTCCAGTGACACGAGGTGGCCTGGGTCACGTGGACCAGCTTGTGGGGATCAGCGGAAGCAGCGGCAGGACTGTGGCTCTGCCCATGGTTGCCCTTCACGTACCTTCTGCAGCTTATCCGCCTTCTCGTAGTAGCCTTCCAGCTCCTGCCGCAGCACGTGGTTCTCCTCGGAGAGCATCTCCACCATCTGCTGGGCTCGCTCCACGATGGCGAAGGCGTCCGGCGTGAGGAAGCAAGCGTGGGGCAGGCGTTAGATGGGCGCATCCTTGGAAATGCACCGAGTGGCTAGGGAGCAAGAGCATTCACGCAGTTTCTATACGGTTTGTTAACAGGATTATTACTGTGCGGTCATGATCCTGGTCTCTAGTCAGTACTAAATATCAACAATCACAGCAGTAACCGGGTAAATTGCCTTCTCTCCTGTCCTTGACAGGGACGTACATGTGGCGTGAAGAATAAAGGAGCACTGAGCTGAAAACAGCTCTTTTTGCCTGGGTGCTTGCAAACGCTGCAGCCTCCCCCTGTCTCCACCTTGCCCCAACCCCACCACAGAAGCTGGAGCCCACAGACTCTAGTGAAAAACAAGCAATGTGTTACTCACCCTTCAAAGATTGGTGCCCACCTGGAGCAAGCAGGCAGGCTGACGGGCTCCGTTAGGAGACGACAAGAAGCAGTGGGAGCCAAGCAGTGTCCTCGAATAGCTTTAGCAAGCAGCAAAGGGAAGGACTGCTGTCTGGACAGCCCTGATCAATCATGGCAAATAATAAAAGCCATCTTCCAGTGCAAGCCCTCATTATGTCACTCGGTGACTAAAGGCATCCATCACCCCCAGTCTGGTCTCAGGAAGACTGAGCTGGTCACAGTCTGTGCAAACCTATTTGTGGGCTCAGCTTTCTGACAGCGGAGGGCTCTTTATCAATCAGAGTCATCACAGAGTTTGCAGTGGCTGGAGAACAATCCAAGAACATGCTTTAACAGTAAGGGTAACCCTGAGGCTGGCAGGGTACCTCACATCCATCATGCACTTCACGCTTTGCAAGGAGAAGTGAGACTGCCCCTATTGCAGGATAATTCATGGAAAAGGAGCTCAAGGCCTGTCTGTGCCAGACCCCGCACTGCTCCCTCTGTGCCTAACTCTGCCTGCAGTACCAGAAGCAGCCCAGAGATCCAACGGGGTCAACGTGGACCTCGGGAACCTTGTCAGGGTAAATGAAACCATGCAGCCCCACGGCGCAGAGCCTAGCTGCCAAACCAGGCTGTGTAGAACAGACTCAGGCTTTTCTGCACTTCCCAGGCCTAGGTGACAACCCTGGCCACACTGGACTCATATGCCTGAGCTGGAACCTCCCAAGCCCTATATTAACATCTCAAGCTCAGACCTACAGCAGCTCAAGCTGATCCAAATGGTGCTCCCGACACCCTGGTCCCTCCTGGCCATTCCCATACTCCAGTCTCCTCCATCCCCATGCTCTGCCTCAGGCCAATGCTGCTGCTCACTTGGCTAGGCTGCAGGTCAGTGCGGAAAACTGAGACAGCCAAAATCTAACCCAGAGAAAAACGAAAAGGGATCCATTTGCAGCTAGCTCATGTCCACGCCTCACCGGCCTTGCCTTATGAATGTGACAGCGTCAGCGCTGGGGACAGAAGGGGAAAGATGGAGCCAGGCTGAGTAGTCCGAAAAGAAGGGCATTACAGAAGCCATAATGTAGAGAGGCTGAAAGGGTTGACCACAGAGGGTTTTTCAATATGCCATGTAATAGATTGGAGCTTATCAAAACCATTTAACAGTGGCCAGCTGCTTAACGCCACCTGCTCTTCCACACCTGTGCTCTTGCAATCAAGCACTTCCTGAAAGTTTCTGAAAGTCTGCCCTTAATGACACCCTATTAGGCTTGCTGTCAGCATCACTGCCTTTATTTCTGTACCCTGTGCCAGGCGGGAGATCTAGCTATAGGATGTATTTACCTCATTTGGTCTCACAAACCTTTGACTGGTATTTTTCTATACAGGCAATTTTGTGCTAAATAAATACATAATAAATATGATTACCGTTGTCTTCAGAGCCTACACAGCTTCTCAAAGTGGGGTTTTCAAAAGCTCTCGGTGTTGGCTTAATTCTGCTTCCAGTGATAATAACCCATTACTGTCTCTGATTGCAGCAGAACAAAACGAGAAGCAAATGCCCTTTGAAAGCCCTGTGCTAAAAGCTAACATCTCTACTCTAACCAGCTTGTCACCATCAAGTCACACAATGTCCAGGAAAGCTGGATGCATGCATACGTAGTCTAGCATGTTCATCCCGGCCCTCCTTCTGTGCCCAGAACAGCAACTCTGGCACAGAAAAGGACTGAAATGAAAGGAGCAGCAGCATTCAGCCATAGCCACGCCAGGCTCGCACGCGGTGCGACCTGTTAGCGCGCGCTGCAGCATCTCTCCCATATGGGCTCCTGGCCAGGGACAGCCCTGCCCATGCTCGCTTTGTCTTCAATATGCTTTTACCAGCCCAGCGTACATATTCCACAGGCTCCATCTCTACTGGCAAGACAGGCATCTGGTCCAGTTTAAGAGCACAACACAGGGTCACTCCCTGGGGGCAGTGTGGAGACATCAGCCAGGCCACAAGGTCTTGAGGGCTAGATGGCCCCAGGAAGACCCTCAGGCATATTGGTTCTCTAGTAGAAATACAGTCCAATTACTTTGGAGTTAAACTTCTACAAAAAGTGAATAAGACTTTCTCAAGCCAACACTAAGTTGGGGAAGCGCTGTGTGAAGTCTATGGCTCAGAGAACCTGCTGTCATCAGAAACATTGTGAAGCGGGGAGAATTATTGCTAGGCCAGAAGGGTAAGCACTCCTGAGCCCAGATGCTGTACTGTCTTTATCTCCATATTTTTTATATTGTAATCTGCTCTGGATCATCTTCTAATTCACTGTTTCACAAGCACATGAACCCCTGCTGAGGAAGGGCTGCCATGGCTGGGGGCTGCCTGCACAGCTACACTGCATTTCTGCCCCATCAGTGCCGGGAGAAACTCTCCTCTTGCTGGTCCTCGCTCGCCCACCCCGTCCCAGCAGTGTACAACACAACGGCAACGCTGGGCCATAGAAAAACAGAAGAAAGGGAACTTCTCCAGCTAGGAAAAATGGGAACCCTTCCCCAGACAGCACGCTACCTGGAGCCAAGATCCAGTCTGACCCGAGGGCAAAGGAGAAGCATCAGCAGAGCCTCAGCCTCACTGTCCTCTGGAGTTCACTGCCTTTGCAAACATTAATACACCAAAATGAAATGGACTAGCAGAGACACAAGCTTTTTCTGCCACCTTATCTGTTGGGGATTGTAGTGCTGGAGGACACACATGGCAACAACTGGCAGCAGCTTCTTCTCCCAAAGGAGCTGGTTCTACAAAAGAGTATCTGCTACCAGCTGGAATATCTGTGCTGATGGAGACCCATGTGACAGACATGGGCAAGAGCTCAGCATCTGATTTTGGGTGCTGATCACTTGTGCTCATCTTCAGGATGAGAACATTCAGGATTCAGAACATTTTAATGTGGGGAAATTCCTCCTTCACACAAACTCCTCAGAGCTCAGGAGGATGAGATACCCCTGGGTTGCAGAGGATGTAACCCAACACGAGAGCCATACGGGCTCTGCTGGAGTGTAGCTGCTTGGCTCCAGTTCTTAGTGTACTCAGCAACTCTGCAACCATGAAATTTGAAGCATGCATCTCCCCTTGCTCCAAAGATATCCTGCAAAATGTCATTGAAGCTTAAACCGTGGCAATACCGCTTTGCTGGACCTGCAAGCAAACTGAAACAATGCTGGGGCAGGGGCCGAGCGGATGGAGGCAGCACGAGGCACAAGGTGGGAGGCGTGAGGCACGAGGCAGCAGGCACGAGACGTGAGGCGCGAGGCGGGAGTGCGTGGTGCCTATGGGCAGCTCTCGCTGAGGTGAGTCCTACTTGGAGCGCCCTCGACCAGTTGGCTGTGGGGCCGGGTCCCCATTTTGACGTTATCTCGGGATGGAGCCAGCCTCCACACACTTGGTCATAGCCCTGTTCTCCCCTTGGTGCCTGTGCGAGGCCACCTCAGCCAGGAGAAAACAGGAAGCGGCAGCTACCATGGAGCCTGGGCTGCCCCAGGAGCCCATGGCCAGCTCCACTGGGGCAAAGCGGGTACATTCAAGGTAGCTGGGCCATCAACACACCAAAAAGGTACACACGGTCCACCCAACAGCACCAAATTACCCAAGATAAGGTTACCTAAGTAACCTATAAGGGAAAAATATCTTCACGATGAGGGTGACAGAGCACTGGAAGAGGTTGCCCACAGAGGTTGTGGAGTCTCCATCCTCGGAGATTCAAGAGAATCTGGACAGGATCCTGGGGAACCTGCTCTAAGTGACCTTGCTTGAGTAGGGCAATTGCACTGGAAGATCTCCAGAAGTTCCTTCCAACATCTACATCTGTGATTCTGCAAAGATGACAGTGATTTACACCAGGTGGAGATCTGGCTCCTGGCTGTATCCTCCTGGTTTTTCTTCCTGAGAGTTCCCTCCTGACTCTGCTCATAATGCAAACCATGGGAACCACTTTTTCCAGCAGTCACTTACTGCCAGAGACCATTTCAGAAGACCATTGAGGCCAACACAACACAACACGCGCCAAGGTGCTGCTGCCAGGCCACAAGTCATGTCCTTTTCTTTAGGTTTCCCCAGTGTGCAAAAGCTGTCAAAAGCCATCCTACCCTTGTCAGGGACTGGATTTTTTTTTTCACTTGAAAAATGAGCAATACACAAACATCAGAGAGAGCAAACGTCATTTGCAATGCGGAGTGTTTGCAACTGCAACCAAGCAAGCTGCACCTCTTCAACGCACCTGACAGTTCGTCTACACTTAAAGGTTTTACCAGGATAATTAATTCAGCTAAGTGTGAGTTAGTTTGGCATTTCCAAAATAAAAGCCACAGCTGATTTTACGCAAGTAAAAGCCCAACTGTCTGGACACAATTAGTCCAGTACAAAGGTGGCTTGCTCAGATACAGATTTTCTCATTTCTTTGTGCGAAAAGCTTATCCTAATAGAACACATTTTATATTGATCTCCGAATCTAAACCAGAGGAGATATATCACTTTTCCTTTTTCATTATAAGTCAGCATTATTCTCTGTTGTATATAAGCCCTTTAAACACTTGCAGTAACTCTTGATATGGACCTCCCCTCAATTTTACTTTT